CTCCTCCCCTCTGGTATTGGTTAACATATACACCCTGAACTCCTCACCCAAGCCATTTTTCCAAGATCTGTCCTCGAAATTATCAAACTTTATGCACCTTCCATTGGTGTTGGGAGGGGACTTTAACCAATGTATGAACACACTGGAAGATAAATTAAAGCCTTCTATCCCAAATTACACATTTTACTCTACCCCCCCCATCACATACACTATTGAACAACTTCACAGAGGCACTACAACTCACGGACGTTTGGTGTCTGACACAACCGCACTTCAAGCTCTGAACGCTCCCATTACTCAGGCGGATATATCCCTAGTCATTAAATCACTCATGAACGGTAAAGCCCCGGGGCCTGATGCCCCGAATTTTACAAACTCATGGCTGAAACCCTTTCTCCTACCTTACAATCGGTGTTCCAATTCATCCAGGCGGGAGGGGACTACCTTCTCTCTGGATTTCAAGCCCACATTAAACTGATTGCCAAAAAAGATAAAGACCCGACGGAACCTGGATCTTATCGGCCAATATCCCTGCTGAACCTCGATGCAAAACTCCTGTCAAAAATTATCGCCTCACGCCTAGCAACTATACTACCTACTCTTATTCATCCTTCGCAAGCGGGTTTTGTGCAGGGACGTTCGGCAGCTTCGAATATTCATAAAGTGATATCTGTCCTGAGCCAAGCCTCTAACGGCACACCCCAAGACGCAGCAATAATCTCAGACGCCGAAAAGGCATTTGACAATGTCAACTTCGAATGGCTTTTCTTAGCACTACGGAAGTTTGGATTTGAGGGCCCTTTTATGCATCTGATTCAAGCCATGTATTCATCCCCAACAGCCCAAGTTATAGCAGCAGGCCACATATACAACCCCATTCAACTTCACAAGGGCAATAGACAGGGCTGCCCTCTATCCCCTTTACTTTTTAACTTGGCCCTGGAACCATTAGCACTCTTCCTTTTATTTCACTCTGACCTCCATGGCATCATAATTGGGCAGCAGGAGTTGAGACTTGCCTTGTTTGCAGACGACATTCTAATTTTTACCTCACACCCATCCCATGATCTACCATACATTCAACATATTTCTCATCCTTCCGCCTTTGCTCAGGGCTCCGCATAAATTTCTCTAAAAGTGAGGTGCTTCTGCTATTTCATTCACGCCTCCCGGTATGGACGCAAAACTCTCAATTTTTTAAAATTGCTACCAAGTATATCACTTATCTAGGCATAAAGATAGAGAAATCAGCTTCATCTCTATATACGCTAAACTATACACCCACGATTGCTAAAATTATTGGGGAACTTGAAATGTGGAAGGACCTACCACTCTCACTCCTGGGCAGATCACACCTTTTTAAGATAGTAAGTTTTCCGAAACTTCTCTATCTGCTTCAAACCATACCTCTTCTCCTTAGACACAGTGACATAACGAGGCTAAATCGGGCAATTTCAACATTTTTATGGAAAGGCAAACCTCCCCATATAGCACTTGCTAAATTATTCCTACCACGAACTGAGGGAGGCTCCTGTCTTCCAAACATGCGAGCCTATAATCTTTCATGTCTGCTTCGCATAAGTCTAGACTGGCTCATCCAATCCTCCAAATATTCCAATTACCACATTGAATCAGCACTAGCATATCCCTACGATCTCTCGGCCTTATTACATTCCAGTGTTAACTCTCTGCCACCCCACCTAAAACATAATCTACTCATCCGCAATACCCTTATCACATGGAGGGAAGTCAGGCGTAAACTGGGTGTCTCTCCGTGGCTCTCTCCCTTTCTTTTTATTCACTATAACCCTTCCTTTTCTCCCCCGCAATCCCATGATGCTTATGATACTTGGCTAGTTCAAGAACTAACTTTGGTACAACACCTATATGACACCTCTACGGGTTCTCCAAAACCTCTCAACGGTGTCCTACAAACCTACGGACTACCAGCACATCACTTTTTCTATATGCTCCAAGTAAGGAACTTTGTCAACTCCGTTGCACCTATTAAATCTGTTAGATTTCAGATGATATTCATTGATGTCTTGGCAAACTCTCGAAAGTATAAAATATCAAACATATAGAGACCTCTGAACCTCCTTTACGCCAAACCTTTCGAGACATTCAATGCTGTGAAATCCTGGGTCAAAGATTTCGATAATGCATTTATAGCTGACCAATTGCTATCAGGCTTCAACTCCACATTCAACCACAACGAATTCTGGCGTGAACAACAACTTAAAATTATCCACCGTGCCTACATGCCCTGTCTCTACTCAAAAAATGACCCGGCTCTGTCTACTTGCCTTCTATGCGGAAGTCAAAAACAATCACTACAACACAGACTCTGGCTCTGCTCTGCTATCTCCACATTTTGGAAGCAAGTAGTCAACTTCATAACTGTCATCACTACATTCCGACTACCCATTGCCCCGCTACGGCTCCTCTTCGGCGATATGGAACAGCCAGTCATTGGTCTCTTCTCCTCTCAAACGTCATCCTTCAGAAATAACAAACCTTGGATATCCACATGCCTCCTAATAGCAAGACGGACCATTCTCTGGAAATGGGTCTCCAACTGTCATCCCACTATGACGGACATCAACCAAGAGCTCAACTCCCTTCTACGTCTTGATAGACTCAATCTAATCACCTCCCCGACCACTTCAAAAGAGTCCCATTACTTCTGAAAATGGGAATCCTATATTACAGGATCCCTATCCGCACAGGAGCAGGCATTCTTTCTCCAGAATCCCAGCCTATTAAGTTGTCCAATGAAACCTCCCACGAATCCAATGGTATTGGGGCAGTTGTCTATTTGACTAGTCGATTTTGGTATCAAATGCTACATTTCAGTTCAAAATTCAGTCCCAGTATAAATTATAACAAGCTGTAAAGATGATCGGAAAGAGACAGGTGCTCTTAAGTGTCCACACCACCAGTGCTCACACACTGCTTACCAGACAGATACAATCTCAGAAAAAATCGAGAGTGCTTAGCTGACGCAGTGTATGGCTAGGTTTAAATATGGTGCAAGAGGTCCCCCCAGAGGCTGCCCCTCATGCTGTGGGTGGATCAGAATAAACATCTTATATGACATGTCCAGGGCACTGGGGCAGGTTCACCCCCCTCACCTCTCGGAACTTCACACAATCATGGTGCTGAGGACAGAGACTGCAGAACCTGAAAGATGCCTCAGCTGCTGCCAGAAAATCACGGTATATGGGCCCCGAAAATATGTCATGAGTGAGGCCTACGTGGTACAGGAAGGTGTGTCATACTGGCCTGAAAAGGCCCACTGGGAATGATGCAAGACCCAAAAGATACGCTGGTCCAATATCACTTGCATGCCATGCTGGATTGCAAGACAGAGCCTCGAGTGAAGGCGCAACCACCGCCATCCGAACAAGGGCCAACGACCCAACCGAACCAAAAGTGCAGCTGTCACATACCTGACAGTGAAGCATAAGATGACGAAGGTGGCCTCTTGTGCAATTCCTGTCCAATCACCTCAGTAGTGGAGATGGGGACTGCTAGGGCAGTGGAAGGGAGCAGGTGCCAGGAAGCTGTTGTAGTGGACTGAAGCTTGGCATCACAGGAGTCCTTCCAATAGTAGTATGGGGGCTGGTCACAAGCCTTGTTCAGCAGCAGCCAGGCAGACAGGTGGGTCAGGATCAAGTTCGAGGTCAGGAACAGTCAGAGGTCATTAAAAGCTGCTCTCTGTTTGCAGTGGAACACCACATACTATCATGGTGCAGTTTAGTCCTCTAAAGCATTAAGAGCAACTCAAGCACCACATTCCTCATACTTTTGTTGCCATAGCTGTGAATAAAAGTGAGAATATCCCCCCCATTAACATTATATCGGAGAGGCCTAAAATGAGAAGCAAAGCTTATTCCCCTGCAGTAATTAGGAGGAAGAGCGGCACCTGTATTCAGAAGCCAAAGTGGTGGTTGGGGGTACAGCATCAAGAAACAGAGCACAGGTTCATTTCTTTTTGGGCAATGTGTGTGCTACACAGTAGGAGCATACAGCTGACAGGGGGAGGTGTTGGAGTAGTGGCTAAACCAAGCCTTCATCCTCTTTCTCCTTTACCTCCAAGCCCCAGAGTAGTGTGAGGTCATCCTATAGCTGTAAAAGCACTCTGTTCTTCTTCCTCATCCAGGCTACTCCTGCCAATGCTATACACAACAAAATTAGAGGGTAATGTAAATGAACACTGATTGCCTCTTCACTTTTAACTTGTTACAATGAGTAAACCAAAAATACCGCATGAGTGGGTATAGGCCCATCCCATGAGGCTAGTGGTTAATAAGACAGCAAACAAGGCTTGTATCAGACTTGGATGATTTAAATATTTATTTGTATAAATTAGAGCCTATAATTAGCGCTTGTAACTTAGAGATGAGCGAATTATTCAAAAATTCGATTCGGCTGATTCGGCGAATTTGCGGAATAAATCGATTCGAGTCTAATATATTCGCTGCGAATTTAACTTATAAAAAGGGTGTTTCTAGGCTTCAGAGAGCCTTTATATTAGTGCAGAACACTGTACCTTTAATTTAAATGCCCTTGGAGTCTGCTGGGGAAGAGAAATAATACTGTCAGTCAGTATGACATGCAGTGAGGTGCCGTCGATCTCTTGAATCACCGCAGCACATTCACTCATTTGCGGCAGTCCCACGGGGCCAAATCCAGAGTGTGGGAAGCCACAGTGTGGCGGTGGAGGCAGCAGCAATTGGGAGGCCATACAGCACCCTATGAAAAATGGAACCCACCAGCAGTGTGAGGAGACCTGAAAGTGGCACATGGCAGTGTGTGGCGATGGAGACAGCAGCAATGGGAGGACGTACAGGGACCCATGACACACTTTGGACCTGGCAGCAGCATGAGGAGGCGCGTGGCAGGTACAGGGGGCCCCATGACAGATTACGGGGCCTCTAGGGCAGCAGCATGATGAGGAGGTCGGTACGGGGGTCCCATGGCAGAGATTACGGGCCTGGCAGCAGCAATGGGATGGAGGCCATACAGCACCCTATGACAAACATGGAACCCACCAGCAATGTGAGGAGTACCTGAAAGTGGCACATATGGCAGAGTGTGGCGATGGCTGACAGCAAGCAATGGGGATGCGGCCAGTAAGGGTCCCCATGACACTCTCTGGACCCTCGGCAGGCAGCATGAGGAGGCTGGTTACAAGTGGGCACCATTGACTAGATTAACGGAGTCCTGGCAGCAGCATTGAGTGTGGTCGGTTACGGGGCTGGGCCCGATGGCAGATTAACGGGACTGGCTAGCCAGCTAATGGGATGGCCGTACAGGGACCCATGGATCACCCACTCTGGACTCTGGCAGCAGCATGAGGAGGCGGTACAGGGGCCCATGACAGATTACGGGCCTTGGCAGCAGCATGAGGTAGTGTCGGGTACGGGGGCCCATGGCAGATTACGGGCCTGGCAGCAGCAATGGGAGGCCGTAATCTGCCAGCATACCCTATGCCACAAAATGGAAACCCTCAAGCAGTGTGAGGAGACCTGAAAAGTGGCACATGGCAGAGAGGTGTGGCGATGGAGCACGCAGCAATGGTGAGGCGTACATGGGACCCATGACACACTCTGGGACTCTGGCAAGCTAGCCATTGAGGAAGGCGGAGGTACAGGGGCCCATGACAGATTACGGGCCCTGGCAGCGAGCATGAGGAGTCGGTTACGGGGGCCCATGGCGAGATTTACGGGACCTGGCAGCAGCAGAATGGGAGGCCCGTAATCTGCTGCACCCCTATGGACAAATGGAACCCACCAGCAGTGTGAGGAGACCTGAAAAGTGGCACATGCATGCCAGAGTGTGGCGATGGAGACAGCAGCAATGGGAGGTCGTACAGGGACCCATGACACACTCTGGGACCTGGCAGCAGCATGAGGGATTGGCGGTACAGGGGCCCCATGACAGATTACGGGCCTGGCAGCAGCAGGAGGAGTCGTACGGGGGGGCTCATGGCTAGATTACGGGCCTGGCAAGCAGCAATGGGAGGCCCGTAATCTGCCAGCACCCTATGACAAAATGGGAAACCCACAGCAGTGTGAGGAGACCTGAAAAGTGGCACACTGGCAGAGTGTGGCGATGGGAGGACAGCAGCAATGGGAGGCTGTATTAGGGACCCATGACACACTCTTGGACCTGGCCAAGCAGCATGAGGATGGCGGTACAGGGGCCCATGACAGATTACGGGCCTGGCTGAGCGATTGAGGAGTGGTACGGGGCCCATGGCAGATTATGGGCCTGGCAGCAGCAATGGGAGGCTCGTAATCTGCCAGCACCCTATGACAAAATGGAACCCACCGGCAGTGTGAGGAGACCTGAAAAGTGGCACATGGCAGAGTGTGGCAGATTGGAGACAGCAGCAATGTGGGAGGCCGTACAGGGACCCATGACACACTCTGGACCTGGCAGCAGCATGAGGAGGCGGTTACAGGGCGCCCATGACAGATTACGGGCCTGGCAGCAGCCATGAGGAGTGTGGTACGGGGGCCCATGGCAGATTATGGGCCTGGCAGCAGCAATGGGAGGCCCGTGTAATCTGCCAGCACCCTATGACAAAATGGAAACCTACCAGCACAGTGTGAGGAGTCCTGAAAGTGGCACATGGCAGAGCTTGTGGCGATGGAGACTCAGCAGCTAATGGGAGGACGTATACTGGGGCAACCCATGACACACTCTGGACCTGGCAGCAGCATAGAGGAGGCTGAGTAGGTGACAGGGGCCCATGGACAAGATTACGGGCCTGGGCACTAGCAGCATGAGGAGGTCGGGTAACGGTGGCTCCATGGCAGATTACGGGCCTTGGCAGCAGCAATGGGAGCCATGTATTCTGCCAGCACCCTATGACAAAATGGTTAAACCCACAGCAGTGTGTGGAGTACCTGAAAGTTGGCACATGGCCAGAGTGTGGCGATGGAGACAGCAGAGCAAATGGATGGCAGTTACAGGGACCCAATGACACCACTCTGGACCTGGCTCAGCAGCAAGAGGAGGCCGGTACAGGGGCCCATGGCAGAGTGGCGAAGCGGTAAGCAGCTTAAATTGAAGGCCATACATCAGAGGCCTATGTGTTAAAAAATAATAACATGTTTGGGGCATGATTCATGGCGGATTTAGTCAGTTGTGTCAGGAACTGGTGGTTTGAATCCAGACTAATCCACGCCTGATTCATTTTCACAACGTGAGTGAGTCTCCACACTTTGTGTGGACAGTCGTGTCCTCCCGCGGAGGTTACAATACCTCCTGCCGCACGACTTAAACACGCGCTCCCCGATGCCACGCTACTGGCCGGGCCATGACAGCCTTTCAGGGCAAATTCAGCTAGTTGGGGCCAAAGGTCAAGGTTGTTTCGTTGCCCAGTAGGTCAAAGGGGATTGTCTACACTCGGTTGGCAGGGTGCTGTCCAAGTAGGCCCAAGCCTGTTGTTTGAGGTCCTGCTCCAGGGTCCACCTGATGCTGCTGCTGCAATGCGGCTGGGTTAGTAGTTTCCTCACTGCGCTCAGGTGAAGAAAGCTACTCATCATCGACTGCAGACTGAGGCGCCGCTTGCTGGTGGAGCTGCCACTGCTCCTACCACACCCCCTCCCCTGCTTGCCATGGCAGCGGAACGCGGAGCGCACAGGGACCCCCACAGTGTCTGAGGATGGACGTTGGCGCAGAGAAAGGGCAGAAGACCAACTGACTACATAGGTGGTTTTTATAGTACGTTTGAATTTGGCCTCTCCAGCTCTCAGCAGGTGTGAAAAAGGCCACACCATTTTTGAACGGTATGCGAGGGTCCAACAAGGTGGACAGCCAAAAGTCATCCCTCTGTCTGATGGTTATTATTCGGCTGTCGCTACGCAAGCAAAGACAGCCACCGAGCATGCTATGGGCCATTTGTGCCAAGGAATGCGAGGGGACTCCCTGCCTCCATCTCCACAGCATACTGACCAACGTGTGTCTGGGTCCTCTGTCTCCTCCTCTACCAGATGCTCCTGCTCCTCACTCCCTGTCCCGACTGAGTGGAAAAACACCACCCATTTCACTCAATAATTCCTGAGCACCAATGTCCTCCTCTACCTCCTCCTCTTCATTCCTAGTCCTGCCCCCCACAGGTGGTCCATGTGGGCGTTGAGATCTGTTGCGCCACGTCTACCCGCACCCTGACCAGCCACTTGTTAACAGCATTTGATTCCAGGACGTGCAACAGAGGAATGACGTCGTTCATCCCATCAGTCCTGCCGACTCTACGAATAGCGTGGCCTCCTCAAAGGGACCTGAGCAAGCGGCAGGTGTCACGCATGAGCTGCCAATGGCTGACATCGAAGTTACACAGGGGAGTACCTTTTGTATCCGCTTGTAACATCAGGAAATCAGGTGATGGCCTTTCGCTTTTCGTAAAGGCGGTCTAACATACTGTAGGGTTGAATTCCACCTTGTTGCAACGGTCGCAGATCAGGCGATGTGCTGTGGAATTCCGACTTGCCGCTGCAGCTCAAGGAGGGTATATTCTTTGTGCTTTGCGGTGTTAGGAATGGCTGAAATGCATGCAAGTTTACGTGACATTTTAAGGATGTCTAGCAGTGGGATGGTGGATTTTAGGAACCGCTTGACAACCAGATTGAACACGTGAGCCATGCATGGCGCATGGCACAACCTTCCTTGACGCAGGAGGCAGACACCATGTTCTTTTCCGTTGTCGGTCAACATGGTTCCAGATTTCAGTTTGCGCGGGGGAGGACAGTCCATCTGTCAATTTCTCTGTTCATTACACTCAGAAGTTCCTCCCCTGTGTGACTAAGTTCGCCAAGGCATACCAGGTGCAGCACAGCGTGACCACCGTTGCGCCCTGCACATCGTGATATGCCTTTGCGTCGGGTAATGGGACTTCGGCTAACGGGGGTGGCGGCTGAGGACACGGCGGAAGAAGAGGTGGTAGAGCGCGGACATCTTTGCTGGACCAAGGACGTGCAAACGTGGAGGCAAAAAGGCGTGACCTTGTCCAAGTTGCTGGTGCGGCTGTGCCGGCACCACGTTCACCCAGTGGGCCGTAAATGACATGTACTGTCCCTGACCATAGTTACAGCTCACAACGTCGCGCTGCCGTGCACTTTGGCAGAGACCGACATGCTCAAAGACTGGCCCACCATCTCTTCTACATGTGAATTTTGCAGGGCTGGCACTGCCTTTTTGGCAAGAAATGCCGGCTTGGCCACTCTTCCACCGCGGCTCGGCACAAGCCATCATTTTCTCGGAAAGGTGCTGAGTCCACCACTTGGAAAGGGAGGGACTGCAGCACCAGCAACTTTGGACAGGAGGGACGTTCCAGCTTCTGCACCGTCGGGTGCGTGCTCGCAAACTGTTGTCTCTTGGAAACGGCTTCCAAGAAAGACTGCTGACGGAATCCGTGAAGAGGAGTAGCAGGAGAAGGAGCATCTGAACGAGCGGAAGATGCCAACGAGCGACAACTCCTCTCAGCAGAGGTGTTCGGAGCCTTGACTGGCTGATAGAGGGCGATTGACGTCGTGGTGTACGGAGCAAGTATTCGGAGCGGGTGATGGAGCGGGGGCTGGGGCAGGCAGAACCGCCGTATCTTTATCACGGTTTTCCCAGGCCACCGAATGGCGTGACGCTGCATATGCTGACGCAAAACGCTGTAGTCCACAACATGGGCTCCCCTGGCCACGCTTGACTTTCTGGCCACATAGTCGACATACGGCTACTACGTTTACTTCCTCGGGCGGCTTGACGAAAAATTGCCACACCGCAGAGTAGGAAACTTTGCCCCCGCTACTCCTCACTGCTGACTGCTACTTCCTCCGTGCACACCGGCACCACTACTGGCCGTGGTGGTAGGCTCTGCAGTGGAGCTGGTGCTTACTCCGTGGCCGTTTGCCTCCACTGACACTGCTGCGACCCTGCTGCCTCCTGGGCAATCCCACCGACTGTTTTGCTCGCTCTCCAAGCTGGCACCTCTTTCCTGATGATGCGGGAAGCAATAGCCACCCCCTGGGGAAAAAAAAAAAAAGTTTTTTTTTTGACGACGAGGCTGCCAAGTGCGATCAGCCTCATCATCATCAATTAGGGTCTCCGCTCACTACTAGCCCCCTCGGCTGCGTGTGGGTCAGGAGACAGACCTGTCCTCTAGGACCGGCTACCGAGCCACTCTCTCTCGCCAGTACTTCTTCGCCTGGCTGCTGAAAGAGGCGGATGTCTCCCCCCGTTCCTGACCACCCTCTGTTAGCTCTTCCTCACTGTACAGTGGGGCTGAGGCCCACAGCATGCGATACTTCGCTTGGTGAGGGAACACCAAATGGACAGGGGCAAGGTAGAGGACACGTGTTGATTTCAGTGGGCTTGCTCCCGGGCCATGCCAACTAACGGTTGTGTCTGACGTACCCACCGACGTTGGCTGTAGGTGTCAGAGGTGACCTGGGGAAGAGCAGACGACCGAGCCAACCAATCGATGACAGCAGGGTTGTCGGTGGAGACACGACACGCTGGATGACAACGGGAGCACTGGCCTCTGGCTGCGACTAGTGCTGCCCTCGACCCTTCCTCTGCTGCCACGTCTGCTCGTCCTGAAACATTGCCTCCTCTGCCACTCCTCTGCGTGTTGTCTGACATACTCTTTAATTTCATCGATTCTGTGTCCCTGAGTAAACGATTCTGTGTCCCTGGAGTAAACGATTCTGTGTCTATCTGAGTAACGATTCGGTGTCCATCAGTAACGATTCTGTGTCCCTCAGTAACAATTCTGTGTCCCTGAGTAACAATTCTGTGTCCCTGAGTAACAATTCTGTGTCCTCAGTAACAATTCTGTGTCCCTGAGTAACAATTCTGTGTCCCTGAGTAACAATTCTGTGTCCCTGTAGTACAAATTCTGTGTCCCTCAGTAACGATTCTGTGTCCCTCAGTAAAATTCTGTGTCCCTGATTAACAATTCTGTGTCCTTGAGTAACAATTCTGTGTCTGTCCTGAGCAACAATTCTGTGTCCCTGAGTAAAAAATTCTGTGTCCCTGAGTAACAATTCTGTGTCCCTGAGTAACAATTCTGTGTCCCTGAGTAACGCCAATTCTGTGTCTGTCCCTGAGTAACAATTCTGTGTCCCTGAGTAACAATTCTGTGTCCTGTCCCCTGAGTAACAATTCTGTGTCCCTGAGTAACAATTCTGTGTCCCTGAGTAACGATTCTGTGTCCCTAAGTAACGATACTGTGTCCCTAAGTAACGATCTGTGGCATAAAGTCTCTCTGGCCCTAACTCTGTCCCTAATACAGACAGGTTCTGTCTCTCTTGAATGACGGAGGCTAATGGAGAATTGTAAGATGGCCGCAATTTATAGCTCCACCATTACACAGTGCTGGCTGGCTGCTCTGATTGGCTAATGCGATCACATGTCATGAATGAATGCATTATGGGTCAGCGCGCCTTGTCTGCGCGCCTTCCCAGAGATCCCCGCTCCGTCGCCACACATGTCGCCGCCATTTTTGGGAAAATTCGATTCGTGCATCCGAAGTTTGCTAATTTTCGGATTCGGCGCGAATCGAATTTTTCCTGATCTTCGAAACGAATTCACTTCGCCATGTTCGATTCGCTCATCTCTAGCTGTAACCACAAAAAGTATCATGAAGTGTTCAACAATCACAACAATCAGATAAACATACAAATACAGTTAAAACCAATGTCAATATAGATGTCCGGACGTCAAGTATAATTATATGTACAGTGGGGATCGAAAGTTTGGGCACCCACCTAAAAATTTGTATTAATATGCATAAAGAAGCCAAGGAAAGATGGAAAAAATCTCCAAAAGGCATCAAATTACAGATTAGACATTCTTATAATATGTCAACAAAAGTTAGATTTTATTCCATCATTTACACTTTCAAAATAACAGAAAACAAAAAAATGGCGTCTACAAAAGTTTGGGCACCCTGCAGAGTTAATATCTTGTACTGCCCCCTTTGGCAAGTATCACAGCTTGTAAACGCTTTTTGTAGCCAGCCAAGAGTCTTTCAATTCTTGTTTGAGGTATCTTTGCCCATTCTTCCTTACAAAAGTCTTCCAGTTCTTTGAGATTTCTGGGCTGTCTGTCACGCACTGCTCTTTTAAGGTCTATCCATAGATTTTCAATTATTTTGAGGTCAGGAGATTGTGAAGGCCATGGCAAAACCTTCAGTTTACGCCTCTTGATGTAATCCCCCGTGGATTTCGAGGTGTGTTTAGGATCATTATCCATTTGTAGAAGCCATCCTCTCTTTAACTTCAGCTTTTTCACAGATGGCATCAAGGTACCATCCAAAATTTGCTGAAATTTTATTGAATCCATTTTTCCTTCTACTCGTGAGATGTTCCCTGTGCCACTGGTTGCAACACAACCCCCAAAGCATGATTGATCCAACCCCATGCTTAACAGTTGGACAGAGGTTCTTTTCATTAAATTCTGTGCCCCTTCTTCTCCAAACGTACCTTTGCTCATTCCGGCCAAAAAGTTCAATTTTAACCTCATCGGTCCACAGAACTTGTTTCCAAAATGCATCAGGCTTGTCTATATGTTCATTTGCAAAGTTCAAACGATGTTTTTTGTGGTGAGGACGTAGAAGAGGCTTTCTTCTGATGACTCTTCCATGAAGATCATATTTGTACAAGTATCTCTTTATAGTGGAATAGTGTACCACAACTCCAGTGTCTGCCAGATCTTTCTGGAGGGATCGTGCAGTCAAACGTGGGTTTTTGAATGTTTTTCTCACAATCCTGCGAGCTGTTCTGTCTGATATTTTTCTTGGTCTTCCAGATCTTGCTTTAACTTCCACTGTTCCTGATGACTGCCATTTCTTAATTACATTCCGAACAGAGGATATTGACATCTGAAAACGCTTTGCTATCTTCTTATAGCCTCTGGGCATTTAAAACCTTTAAGATTGACATACCTGGTCTTCCCAGACGATGATTGAGAACAATCCATGACACTGGCAGGTCTCAGCTTTGCAAAGGGGGCAGTGCATGCTATAAATTCTGCAGGATGCCAAAATTTTGCAGGCGCCATTTTTTTGTTTTCTGTTATTTTGAAAGTGTAAATGATGAAAATAAAATCTAACTTTTGTTGACATATTATAAGAAAGTCTAATCTGTAATTTGATTGCCTTTTAGAGATTTTTTCCATCTTTCCTTGGCTTCTTTATGCACATTAATACAAATTTTTAGCTGGGGTGCCCAAACTTTCGATCCCCACTGTATATGATTTTGTGGGAGCCCAACCCAAATGGGTGTATGAATGTCGTTATTATGTATAGTTAACAGCTCCACAAATTCTATACGCATACACATATACAACCTAGGACTATTAAATATAAAATATAATTATAAAGAAATGCCACGCCCCTGAAATAAATTATTTGCTCTTACTAATTAATAACTGTGTCACATGAAATAATAAATCTATATAGTGATAAATTAATACATTATGTTTAAATCCACTTTCATTATTATTCTTAAATTAAATAAATTCAATTAAATTCAATTATATGTGGGATAATATGTATAAGTGAAACAATATAAATAAATGTACAATAGTAAATATATAAGAAGAAAAGAATAAAAAATATATCAAAAATGTCCAAAAATTTATTTATGTATTCAACACGTTCTTTGGATCTTTGTTTCAATTTTGACACTCATACTGTATGTGCTCACCTTCCTGTAAGCCTAATTCTAGGCAAACAAAGCTTTAGATCTAATTGGATGATGACTTTTACTTAATTCTGTGGTTGGATTCTTCAGGATGAGATGAACTATGGATCTCCCCTGTGTTCTCCTGGATTAATCACTGCTTGTGTGCTGGTATAGGTATTAGGATCTCTCCCTCCTTACACTGCAGTATTTTGCTCCATCCCTCTGCTCCTCTCCTCATTATAGCAGTGAAAAAAAGTTATATAGTGCCTTATCGTTTTTTAAAAGGTTTATTTAGTGCCCCTTAACATAGATGCACTCACATGGTATACATTTATAATGCTCCTTGTATATAATAATAACCGCTCGATGCAAATGAAACAAGCCTCCTCTGTGTGTCTTACACACACAGGCTATACTTGTCATTCTGAAGCTGGGTACGTGGTGACCTCAAAGCCCCTCCCCTATGCGTTGCGCCATAGGGTCACATGGCTTCGTCAGGGGGATGTGATAGGACAATCACCTTGCCCATACTTCTTTTATAGTTGCTCGGCGACATTTTTTTGGAGTACACACGGCTGTGGCCATCTTTTTGGGGCCATGCTTATTATACTATCATTGCGGACAGCCGTATCATCCAGGTAGAAACAATGTTGCCAATGTGATTACTGTTTTTCTAAATATATATTATGTGTTACTTGTTGTATCCACTTTCTAATGTCTCTGTACCCATCGGCCATATATACTACTTGCGGTTAACACCAGGGAGGCTGGCTACACTCGTTTATATCAATTAATTGCAATCTAGATTAATACACTTTAAAATTTAAACAATATAATTCCCCCTACTAATAAATTTATTATATTAAAAACTAAAATAAAATGAAAATATAATTATAATTATAAAATTTAAATACATATATATAGCTAAAAATAAACTTAAAATAAACAAAAATAGTCCATAACCTAAACATGATCTTATCTTATTCATAATGATGTCTCTCTATTCCCATCTGTTATATAGTATATATAAAACATGACCAATATTACTTTTGGATGCTTGGCAGATCATGGTAACTACTACTGCTTATTACCATATTACTCACCCCTTTACGAGTTGATTAATGTATTCTAATTGACTTATTCTGTTACTTGTATTTGATTCAATTAAACTGGTATTTGCCCACATCATTACGGTTATAATATTTATAATTATACACACATATAATATACTGTATATATGCAAATAACTCTCATATATACAATTGTTATTCACCTAAATAGATAACAGTATCTATTACCTCTCTTTTCTACTTTAATGTTTGAATAAATTTACACCCAAAAGATTTTTATTTATTTGAAACTCAATAATCACTTATGAAGCATGAGAGATCGAATTCTTTATTTAAGCCCTTAGGGGCCAAACAACTCATTTCATATATCTAGTGGGACTCTTTTTTTACTGATTTCCCTCACTAAATGATCTCCTCTCCAGTGTCTGCTGTGCTTCGCTATGCCCCAAAATTCTAATGTGTCCGCTTGTTTATTATGAAATTGTTGAAAATGCAAAGGTACATTATGGTATTTGTAACCTTTATTAATATTGTAAATGTGTTCTTTAATATGTTCTTTTAAAGTTCTTTTTGTTCTACCAATATAAATCAAATTGCATGGACATTTTAGAGCGTAGACCACTCCTTTTGTGTCGCAAGATATAAATTGTTTAATCTTACTGTATATACTTTACAACCATTAATGGGATTTTGAAAATCTAACCTGCGTTTAGGATTATTTTTTGTTCTCTAAATGCAGGTTAGAGTTTCAAAATCCCATTAATGGTAAAGTATATAAGATTAAACAATTTATATCTTGCGACACAAAGGGAGTGGTCTATGCTCTAAAATGTCCATGCAATTTGATTTATATTGGTAGAACAAAAAGAACTTTATAAGAACGTATTAAAGAACACGTTTACAATATTATTTGACGTCACCACATACCCAGCTTCAGAACGGTGAGTATAGCCTGTGTGTAGAAGACACACAGAGGAGGCTTGTTTCATTTGCATCGAGCGTTTTTTATTATATACAAGGCGCATTATAAATGTATACCATGTGAGTGCATCTATGTTAATGGGCACTAAATAAACCTTTTTAAAAAACAATAAGGCACTATATACCTTTTTATTTTTTTCACTGCTATAACGAGGAGAGAAGCAGAGGGATGTAGCAAAATACTGCAGTGTAAGGAGGGAGAGATCTTAATACCTATACCAGCACACAAGCAGTGATTAATCCAGGAGAACACACGGAAGACCCATAGTCCATCTCATCCTGAAGGATCCAACCACAGAATTAAGTAAAAGTCATCATCCAATTTGATCTAAAGCTTTGTTTTCCTAGAATTAGGTTTACAGGAAGGTGAGCGCATATGAGTATCAAAATTGAAGCAAAGATCCAAAGAACGTGTTGAATACATAAATCAATTTTTGGACATTTTTTATATATTTTTTATTCTTTTCTTCTTATATATTTACTATTGCACATTTATTTATATTGTTTCACCTATACATATTATCCCACATATAATTGAATTTAATTGAATTTATTTAATTTAAGAATAATAATGAAAGTGGAATAAACATAATTTATCACTATATAGATTTTATTTCATGTGACACAGTTTACCATATTTTCCGGCGTATAAGACGACTGGGCGTATAAGACGACCCCCTACTTTTCCTGTTAAAATATAGGGTTTGGGCTATACTCACCGTATAAGACTACCCCTCTTCCAACGCACACCAAATAAAAATTAAAAAACATCAGATTTGATTTCAGTATGGTATTCCAATTATGGGGCACGATTCCTCGCTCTGACACCAATGATGGGGCACTATTCCTCCCACTGACACCAATGATGGGGCACTATTCCTCCCCCTGATACCAATGATGGGGCACTATTCCTCCCACTGACACCAATGATGAGGCACTATTCCTCCCATTGACACCAATGATGGTGCCCCATCATTAGTGTCAGTGTGTGAGGAATAGTGTCCCATCATTAGTGTCAGTGTGTGAGGAATAGTGTCCCATCATTAGTGTCAGTGTGTGAGGAATAGTGCCCCATCATTGGTGTCAGTGGGAGGAATAGTGTCCCATCATTGGTGTCAGTGGGAGGAATAGTGCCTCATCATTGGTATCAGAGCGAAGAATCGTGCCCCATCATTGGTGTCAGTGGGAGGAATAGCACCCCATCATTGGTGTCCGTGGGAGGAATAGCGCCCCATCATTGGTGTCAGTGGGAGGAATCATGCCCCATCATTGGTGTCAGTGGGAGGAATAGCACCCCATCATTGTTGTCCGTGGAAGGAATAGCGCCCCATCATTGGTGTCAGTGGGAGGAATCGTGCCCCATCATTGGTGTCAGAGAAATGAATCGTGCCCCATCATTGGTGTCAGTGGGAGGAATAGCACCCCATCATTGGTGTCAGTGGAAAGAATCGTGCCCCATTATTGGTGTGAGTGGGAAGAATCGTGCCCCATCATTGGTGTCAGTGGGAGGAATAGCACCCCATCATTGGTGTCAGTGGGAGGAATAGCGCCCCATCATTGGTGTCAGTGGGAGGAATAGCGCCCCATCATTTGTGTCAGTAGGAGGAATAGCGCCCCATCATTGGTGTCAGTGGGAGGAATAGCGCCCCATCATTGGTGTCAGTGGGAGGAATAGCGCCCCATCATTGGTGTCAGTGGGAGGAAAAGTGTCCTAACATTGGTGTCAGTGGGAGGGAATAGTACCCCATCAGTGGGGAGAGGAATAGTGCGCCATTGTTGGTGTCAGTGTGGGGGAGGAATAGTGCCCCATCGTTGGTGTCAGTGGGAGGAATAGTGCCCCATCGTTGGTGTCAGTGGGAGGAATAGTGCCTCATCATTGGTGTCAGTGGGAGGAATAATGCCCCATCATTAGTATCAGTGACACCAATGATGGGGCACTATTCCTCCCACTGACACCAATGACACTTGCTGACTCCTGTTCCAGTATGGTACTGCTGCAGCTAGCATATGTGGTTGCAGCAGCACCTCTGCACTGCACACTTACAGGCTTCTCCCTCACTCGATTTTTGCGGGTCCACTCGGCTCTGCCTCCTCGCTCGTGATTGGCCGCCTGTGTGCCTTTCCTGAGCTACAGTTCTGGCGCCAATCACCGGTGAGGAGGCGGAGCCGAGCGGCAGGAGTGAGGGAGTGGCCAGAGTGACTGAAGGAGCAGCGCTTCCTGGACTGGATCGCCGTGGGAGCCAGGTAAGAGACAGCAGCCCTCTGCTTACCCCTGTACTTAGTGTCCCTTCCGTCGAAAGGGAGGGATGGTGGCGGTGGCATCGCGCCGCCCCCCTAAAAAGTGCCGCCCTGACGTATACCGGCGTATAAGACGACCCCCGACTTTTGAGAAGATTTTCAAGGGTCAAAAGGTCGTCTTATACGCCAGAAAATACAGTATTAATTATTTAGTAAGAGCAAATAATTTATATCAGGGGCGCGGCATTTCTTTATAATTATTTACAATAATCTAATTACACATATCAATGAGGATTTGATTAAGTGCCAGCGAACCACATAAGAAAATAACGTTTATTATTTTATTTGTGGCTCACAAGTAATTCACATATTTTGTTAAATAAAAAATATAGTCCCACTCCAAAATTCATGAAAAAAAATGTTTTTTTTTCTTTTTGTTTTTTTATTTTTAATTTTTATTTAATTTTATTATTTCATTTTTTGAATATTTTTTGCATGATTTCTTTGTATTTAAATTTTATTATTACTATTAAAGATTTTTATTGTGAAGGATAAGATTAAAATCGGCATGATTGAGGTCCTGTATAAGTGCATAAGTGTTCTAGCGTTTTAAAAGTCATTGCCCTTGAAATGTATGTATACCACATAAGGTGTAATGTAAAGAAAACCCAGGGTAGTAGAGGATGACAGCTGTAGAGGATTTACATTTTGCATACAACCTATCAGTGAAGAGGGGAGGATCCTGTGTTTTAGATAGACGACCTTGTGCTCGATGTGTGCTGTCTCTGAAAACGCCCTGTGGGAGGGGGGTGAAACACATTGACGCACTTCCGGTTCTGCCGTCTTACGTCACTTCCGGTGAGTGGAACGCACACTGCGTTCTATGTGGCCATCTTGTGTATGAGTGAATAGTCATATTGTCATCTGCTGCTGACTGTGGGATTTCTAAGTAACTACCCTGAAGTTTATGAAGTTTGACATCTGTGGAGGAAATAAAACAGGCTGTTTTATATCTTTTACAATGTGAGTGGCCTGGTGTTTTGATAGTTGATTAAGACGGGTGTTGCAGTATTATGTTGTTATTTTTTCTTTCCTACTTTATCCTGAGTCTTTCTGGGAAGAGGAGCCTGGTGGTGTTGGAACTTGGAGGAAAGTTTTCTTGTGGCGGAGTGGAGTTCTGGAGGCTTATCATTAAGGGTCTAGGATCCTTAAAATACCTAAAAGGCGTATATTTTACCAGAATCTGGTGAGTGTGGTATATTTTTTGGTTTTGAGCACTAATTTTTGGTGGAAGTACACTTCTTTGAAACAAGGACTTTCGGTTAATTTAAGGATTTTTTCATTTTTATTTTGCCACTTGTGATTCATATATATATATTTTTTTCACGAATTTTGGAGTGGGACTATATTTTATATTTATTATTTTTTTCATATTGATTTAGCATTACAACAATTATTTGCGCTGTTTGTGATTGTTTAATATTTTTTGGTGTAAGTTACACTTATACAATGTGAGTGGCCTGGTGTTTTGATATTTGATTAAGACGGGTGTTGCAGTATTATGCTGTTATTTTATCTTTCCTACATTATCCTGAGTGTTTCTGGGAAGAGGAGCCTGGTGGTATTGGAACTTGGAGGAAAGTTTTCTTGTGGTGGAGTGGTGGTAGCATTACAACAATTATTTGCGCTGTTTGTGATTGTTTAATATTTTTTGGTGTAAGTTACACTTATGTACAGCAGCATTTAATTTTGTTTTATAATTTGTTTATATATAATATTTTTTTTCTTTTGGCACTGGTGATTTATGGTTATATACAACCTAGGGCCTGTACACTAATCCAACTGAGAAGATGGATGATGGTATGCATGGAATGATTCCTATAATGTTAATAGCTATAGGGATGAAGTCCATAGATCAAAAATGGGAAATGATGCCTGAAGATAAGGGATCAACTTGATAGTGAAATACTGAACCAGTACATGATCCAGGTCCGTGAGTGAGGTGAAAATAAAAAGTTGTAATATTCAGGTCGATGGCAGAGATCCTAACCTATAGAAACAGTAACAGGGGATGTATAGTCCCTGATGTGCTGCTCATGACAGTGGGTTCAAGGATTGCGACATATATCACAGTAATGGCGATATGAATCTCCACACACATCTAATCCATATCGGTACGTGTATCGCTAGTAGTATCAAACCTCCTCTTCATCAGCTTTTTCTCAAGGGATCCTGAGCTTTTAATGACCAGTATATGTATTTCATGCATGAATCATGAATTGTCCCATTGATAAGCATTCATAGCCGGCCTTTATACAGCAGTGACTGATAATTATACAGAAGTGAAATGTGGTACAGCGGCAATTCATCGCCATATGTTTAGTACTGAAGGTGAGGCTCCACTTCAGTCTTAATCCCCCAGGGGGTATAAGGGGCTATGTGATTGGGATCGACTCCTCTGGGAAAAATGTCCCATTAGTTCAGGCAATTGTCATCTACTGAACAGTATAGGTGGTAGGTCTGCACTAAGATACCTGTAAATCCTCAAAAGTCGCTGCGTGACTTTGTGTAGATATATGGAGCAGTCTTACCACTAGACAGCCGTCCTAATTGCGGTAGTGTGCAAGACCTTTATGTGGTAGATGATCCCCAGATTGCAAGGTTAAGGATATAACACTTTTTTTTTATGGAAAGTATTTTTTAGGTCAATGTATACTAAAAAAGACCAATAGCTGAACCTGACCCTCAATTTGAGGAAGATATTGCTAGATACGCTAATATCCTTGCTGGAGGAGAATGAGGACTCTATTGAAGGTGTTACCACTCCTGGGAGGAAGGCAAAACTTGATATTAAATGAACTAAAATGCCACCACTAAGCATAAATAAGTGGCTGAGCCTGTTCCTGGAACTGGCACAAAGGGACTTAAAATGGATAGATTGGATAACAACTAACAACAACAATCTTGATTCCGAAGAATGTAAGGCACTCACTGAACTAAGGGAAGCCAAGCAACTCCTAATAAAGAGGAGTGATAAAGGAGGGAATGTTGTTTTGATGAGTGAGACACTACTTAAAAGAAGTAAGACGTCAAGTAGATGACTGTGCGACTTACAAATATACACTAATCCTTTCCCACAATTGGTAGACACGATTAATAAGAAACTGAATATGGCTAAGGAAGCAGCCTTAATCACTAAACATGAATTCAACTACCTTAAGGTCCGTGATTAAAACATACCGACTTTTTATATAATACCCAAGGTACATAAGAACTTAACTAATCCCCCAGGGAAGACCTATAGTTTCTGTGATCAATGGACCAATGGAGAAGATCAGTACCTTGATCTTCTTTTAAAAGATATGGTTTGACAATTAAAGTCCTTCGTACAGGATACTAGTGATGTTTTATCTTAATTAGTAAATCTAAAAGTGGAAGAAAACATATGGTTGATAGGAATTGATGTCGAATCACTTTACACCTCGATTCCCCACCATTGTAAATTAAAGGCAGTAGAGTTTTTCCTCAATCACTATTTCCCAGAAATGGGCCATCAAAACAAATTTATCCTTGACCTCTTGGAGTTCGCCTTGTGTAATAATTTTTTTTTTTTGTACTATGGAAGGGGGACATGGATACATTCGGTGAATTTATGAACTATTTGAATCAAAACGATAAAAATATCCGCTTGACCTATACCAGTGATAGCAAACGGATTTCTTTCTTGACCTCTCTCTATCCATAGAGGATGGCCAATTGGTCAAATGCACCTATTGTAAGGATACAGCAGCAAACACACTTACAAGCTGATAGTTACCATCCAGCCTGGTTAAAAAATGGGATCCCGGTGGGACAATTTCTCTGCATTAAATGAAACTGCAATAGACAGGTGAACTAAAAAAAGAGGAGAGGGATCTTTATGCCCGTTTTCATGAACGTGGCTAATAACATAGACAACTACGTAGAGCTAAGAGAAAAGTAGCCAATAATGATAGGAACCGTCTCCTCATTAAGAAATCTACTGAATGCAAGATTCCCCATGTCCCAGTAAGAATAATTACTTCCTTTGGATCCCAATGGGACAAAGTAAGAGAAGTGCTTCTTAAGCACTGGGGTATCCTCTCCAACAGCCCCAGACTGGATACCATTGTGGGACAATTTCCTCTAATGGTAGCCAGAAGAGCACAGAACTTTGGAGATATTTTGATGCACTCTGAATTTGCAAAGACACCATCATGTGACTGGTTCTCAGATTATCCCAGAACAAGAGGAATGTACCCGTGTGGGAAGTGTCAAATTTGTCCGTATTCAAATTAATATTTTCCAAGATTCAACTAAGGAGAATATCTTTCAAATTAGAGACCTGATTAATTGTTCAACAACTAGGGTGATCTATATAATCACCTGTCCCTGTAATAAAATCTATATAGGTAAGACCAAGAGACAATTAAAAGTAAAGATAGGGGAACATCTACAAGAAATTAAAGATAGGACCCCAAAAATCAGGAAAAACCGCTTGCTAAACATTTTAAGAAATTTCATCAAGGTACTGTCACGTACCTGATGGGAGACTGAAATGACTAGGTCGGCCTCACTTGTGTCACTAGCCCTTACCCCACTGGAGTTGGAAAAGAGGGAGTCAAGGGACCAGGGGGACAAGAGTGCCAGTAGATGTTGTT